TGAAGTTACTCTAGGCTATGATCAAGATGCCACAGTCTAATGTGACCTATCTTACTATTCGATTTTAAGTGAAGCGGGTAGCATTCTAAATTTATGTTAAACAATGGGGCTAGAGGCTCAGGGTTAAATTTTTCACTTGGACATTGAAAGGAATGTTGATAAGATATGAAGAGATTGTGACATCTCAATCAATTCGCAATACCCACAGCATGTAATCTGCCTACTTGAGACGATCCCCTTCCTTTCTGAGCGTTTTTCTTTAACAGCCAATTGATAGCTGGTAGTAAAGCAGGATGTTGTGCATGGAATTGTCGTAACTAAATAACAAATCAATCAAACACAATTTTCAAGAACATACTAACCTTTTCCAGTGCTTCTTCATCACTAGGTAACGTAACCATAGCTTTGAGGAGGTAGTAATCATTGAGTATGTGACAAGCAATAGGATCTTGACGTAATTCAGGAAACTTTTCCATGAGATTCTTCAAGTAATCAGTGGTGGTGACATCAGCGATCAAACGCAAGTGCATCTGCAACATCGATTTTGGGTAAGGAAACTAGGGCGATTCACTTACATAACCCGATTCCTCTTTTTGTACATAGTCAAAAAGACGATCACACTCGCGAAGCATTCCGTTATCACATGGCTAAACATGCTAATGAACGAGGTGGTAGCTTGTAGTACAGATATCTTTCGGAGTACCTTATTCACTGGTGTCTCCCCATCATTTTGCAAAATTCTCAGAATGTCGTTCTCGCGGATGTTGTGCGTACTAAGAGGTTCATCTGGCTTCAGAAATCGACCAGTGTAGGAAAGAACTGAAAGAAACATAGTGAGGCTGATTCAGAGAAGATTACCGCGTTGAAGGCGCACGTGATTGTTCCACAAGATTCCACCCTTACAGTTTCTGCTCCAGATCAGCGGGCTACACCAGAAAAGCTTATTTTACAAGCACGAAGAAAGATAAGTCATTCATTTTGTGACGAGACTCGAAACCGCTTTGCACGTATTGTTTAGAGGCAGTGTCCGGGCGAATTTTCGAACAAAATTTTTTTGGCATTTTTGGGCTTATCCTTCCTGCTAAATCCGAAAATGCAACTTGC